GAGTTTAGGGCCGTTGTACATAGGGTCGCTATGAGTCACAGGCGACTCGACAGCACATAACAACAACAACAACATGAGACATAAAGCAGGCATGAGAAATAAAAACAATGATTTAAAAAATCCAATAAAGATGTATCAGAAAAAGATATGGAATCTTTGAGTAAAACTGGTATTCAAAACGGTTCTTTTTTTAAAATTTCATAGTACCACAATGTTCTTAAATCACAGTCACTGAGTCAGTCCCAACTCACAGCCTGGAAACTCCTTTGGGTTGCCAAGTCTGGTGGATCCGAACTGCTGGTGACATGAAGCCTTTGGGTTAACAGCACTATTGTCACCACCTTCCAAGTCTTCAGCATCTGTCCTTATATGTCCTTCCAGGCTTCTTTCCTTCCACATCCCCCTTCCCATTTATTTACTAATTTTTCTCTTCTTTCTTTGTTGTTGTTCTGTGCCATCAAGTGGCCTGTGACTCATAGCAACGCTATGTACAACAGCTCTGAACCTTATCCTGAGCCAATCTTACTATCTCTGACACAACTACCCCAATTACTGTGGAAATCCATCTCACTCAGGGTCTTCCTCTCTTGCACTGCCTCTCTACCCTTCCAAGCATGATGTCCTTCTTCAAGGACTGGTCCCCTCCTGTATGCAAAGGCATGTGACTGTGTGGACCACAAAAAACAAAACCTTGAGAAGAATGGGAATGCCAGAACTTGATTATGCTCACGTAAAACCTATACTTGAACCAGGAAGCAGTCCTTAAAACAGAGCAAGGAAACACTGTATGGTTCAAAATCCAGAAAGGAGAATGTCATGGCTGTCTCCAGTCTCCAGACCTTCTTAAGTCTTAAAAAATGAAAATGGGAGACTGGGACAGGTTACTGATAAGAACTTTGGCAACTGTCCACTCCTGTCTTTAACTCTAGTCTAATGACTACACAGAAAGACACCTGGTGGAAGTGGGTCAAGGAGCTCCCCTACCGGGAGTGAGAACAGAAGCAAAGATATCTAACAGAGACTTGGATGCCAAGCCCTACCCTTATTAGGGATATGCCCTTGGCTGAAAACCTTGTTTTCATCTCTAAAATGGGGGAAATAAATACCAATTTCTGTTTTAACTAATTACAGTTAGCTGGATGATGAACATGAAAGCACTTTAAACACTTTGAATCACTCACTGAACAAAAAGAAAACAGTCACTAAAACAACATGCCTGGAATAGGATTGCTCTTTCTAAGGAATCCAGTTTCATTATCATTAACATGCCAGCACCAGTTTTACAACCAGTGCGTGGCCAATGAATTATTTCCAACCTCTCAATATTCTTATATGAATGGACTGACTTTTGTGTAGACATAAAAAAGCAGATGGACAGACGGGCAAAGTCAAGCAAAAGATTTTTTTTTGTTGTTCATTAAATTCTAATCGTCTATTATATAAAACACAATGTCAAGAAGTGTGAAACACAATGTATACGAATTTTGGGGGGAAAATATCCTTGCAATGAAAAAAATTACTGGTTATACAAAAAGAGGGGAAAAAAATCTAATCATCCAGAACAAACTCATGATCCCTACAGAAACTTATCTCATTACACTTCAGGCATCAAACAGGCAACAAATATGTGAGTGCTTTTTATACACAGGCTAGATAATTTGGGGTTCAATAAACTCAAATCTGAAGCACCAAATAACAATAGTATTAGCTCCTATGGGGGGGAAAAAAAAGCAGGCACCCTTGCTATTTTTATTTCAATTCACATGTAGCAAGTACAGCTATGTACGGCATAATGTCTGTTGGAGAAAAAATCTGACTGCTTATATGTCCTTGGAGCAGGGAGGACGGCTTTCCTTGAGAGAGCTGTAACCCTTGAGATCATGGTGGCTTGGGAGCTGCAGAGGTAGGCAGAGCTGCTTAGTCTCTCTGGGCTTTGATTCCAACCAGACTCCCTAGAGTCGACTCAGAGAGCGCCCATAGGCCCAAAGGAGCAATTTGTAAACCCCACAGTTCCAGGTGGTAAAAGAGTAAGAGCACCTTGTTAGAGGGCTACTTCAAGATACGGGTATCAAATATGCAAATAGATGTACTATATAATAAAATACTACACATACTATATAATAAAAGGAGCTCTGGCAGCCTATTAGTAAGGGGCGGCATGCCAATCCAAAGGCACATGGTTCAAAACCACTAGCTATATCATGGCATGGGAGAAAGTTAGGCAATCTCTTTCCATGTGATTTACTGCCTCAGAAAACCCACCGTGGATCAGCTGTGAGCCAGTGCTGGCTTGACAGCACACAATAACAAACCAACATATATAATAGACTGTTCACACAATGCCCAAATCACATAACATCCTGTATTTCATAGGCTGTGAGTGTAAAGTGAGACACATTTGTATTTGAAAATTGGCAAGGAGAATACTCAGAATAAATGGCACTTTATTGAGGGGACATTTCACTTTAGCTGTGTACTGTGCCTCGTTTTCTCACTGTATTTGTGCCTCTATCTGAGCTCACCGTTCTCAAGCTTTGTGCACTGGCAAGTGGTTTCCGGCTTCCAAAGAGAATGAATTAGGACATAGTAACAGTAATGACAAAAGTGTGGTCTCTCTGAAATGTTTTCAGAGAGTCTGGTCACTGCTGATATGCTTACTGTCATTTCAGCCACCCTACCCTGAAAAGGCAGCATCTTCCCCTCAGCCCACGTGCCACCACACCAAAGTGTTTTGTTTTCCTCTCTTCTGATCTATGCTCCCTCTCCCTCCTTGCTCTCCAAGGCAGGCAGCAAGCTGGTTTGTTCAAGCCCTCACTATTTGCAACAGCAAATAAAACTAGGGTCACTAGGGGGGAAAAAAATAAAAAACAAATACAAAACAACAACAAAAAAAAACAGGAAGGAAAAAACCCTACAAAAAACGAGGGTCACTAGGAGTCTCAATCGATTTGACAACAGTGGGTTTGGTTTTGGTGTTCTGCTATCAGACAGATAGCTACGGATTACATTTAGTTGATAAACACAAAACTGGCAAAAGACAAAAGGAACCACAGCCTGGTGTACCTAAAATGGTTATTATCGGTGCAGGCCTCACCATGTTTGCATGAATTGCTCAATCAAGCTTAAAATAAAATCAGCTCTGATAAAACTAAAAACAGAGGATCCCATCTGGTACACAAACTCCAAGAGGGCCCCCAGTGGCCACGATTCTTGAGGTATTCATCCCCTTGTGCAAATTGTTCTTTTCTTTTTGAGTATGAATGGGACTTGGGACTTGCTTTCAGCCAAAATAATAGGGCTGGACACTGCGTTTGTGAATTAATATGTTACAAAAGATTCCGATTTTCATCTTGCTGGCTCCTTCTCGCTGTACTTCTTTTTCCTGATTTTGATGAAGAAGCTACCGCATTTGGAGGAATCCATGTGGTAAGAGCTAAGGGTGGTTTCTGGCTTTCAGCAGGAAAAGGAGTTGAGGCACTCAGTTCCTCAGCCCACAGATAACCACGTCCTGCCAACAAATACATGTGCCTACAAGCAGATCCCTTCCTGTCAAGTCTTTGAAGACCTCAGATACTTCACAGCAGTCTATGAGACTGTGACACAGAAGACTCAGCTAAGCGATGCATGGATTCCTGACCCAAAGAACCTTGTAAAATAATTTGTGATCTTTCAAGCTCTAAATTTGTGGTAATTTATGATGCAGCAATAGTTAACAAACACATCACCAAAATCCCAAATAAGCCAATAATGGCATGTATTATCTAAATTTTCTCTAATAAGACAAATAACTTTTCACCCTAAGAATTTACTACTTTGGAAGTATGAACTTTGTGTTCAATTCAATGAAACATTTATTTCTTCAAGTCTTTCCTCTAAACTTTATTCCTTAGTTCCCTTACATTGATATAAAAAACCTGAACATTTCTTCTCTTATTTGACAGACAATACTCAAAATTCCAAAACTTGACCTGTCTCGAATTATAAACTGAAAAATCTAAGAATTCCTTTTTAAAAAAGCAAAAGAAAAAAAAACCCACAGTATTTCCCAATTCACACTCCAGTTTTTCCTAGCCCCTCAGTTCTGCGAAGTCTAACTACATACTCACTTCCTCAGATATATAAGCCAGTTTGTGGACCTGGAAATAATTCTTTCTATATTAAAGCTTCAGTTGTTACAGCTTCGAAAAACTGCAAATCATTCTTACTTACATCTGGAAGTCTGTATAGCTTCATTGTTCTCTGTAAAGTCATATTTCTACTCAAGTGAGAAAATTTCACTTCTACCAATTTTCTGGGGTTTAGTGATCGATGCCAGTATCTGGAACACAATAAAGGTTTTGAAATCTAATTGATTTCTAACTCTATAAGGTTTCACTCCTGTCTCAGCTGAGCTGTTAAAATAAGTATTTACTGCACTTGAATTTTACATTTACTGACACTATTCTTCTTCCTAGACAATAACTGTATCAGTCTTTTTTTAACCTTCATAATATGCCTTGCATTACGAGTTATATTTCTTTAGAGTTTACGATCTTTCATCTCTTTCAACATAGAGAACTCTTCAAACTGTAAAGGAAATATTAATTAATTCCCAGTCAACAAGTATTTTAATTGATTTTACAAAAGGCAAATTATAAAGTTTAAAAAGGTGGAAAATATTTCTCCCCAAACAACTAGCCTTCACAGAGAAAACATATACCAATTTAAAACATTTTTTGAGAAACTAGCTTAAAGTTTTTACATGCTACTAGTTTATATAATGGAATGAACTATTATTAAAATGTTGTTGTTGACTGCCTTCAAGTCGAGCTCAATTCATAGCAACCCTATGAACAAAAGGCCTGAAGCCCCTCTACAACTATCTACGTTTATCAAAGTTCCTAGTTTCTGGAAGCATGTTGTTTAGGAAGTGGATGCCATTCCTGCTTCCATTATTATAACAGACACTGAAAATGCACCTCTAAAGTCTTTTTGCTGTTGATTTATGAACGTAGAAAATAGGATTTAGTTTTTTGGTTGTACATTAATTTTTATACTCTGTTTTCTTGAAGTTATAACTTGATTAGAGTCAAAAACAGAACTCTTTCAGAGAGAGATAAACTTTCTGATGCTTTAGAAATATGTTAGTGAGGGATAAACTCTAATGCTTTCGAAATATGTTAGTGAAGTGGCAATCTGATAAATTGTCTCACTGGAAAGAACTTTTAAGAACTTGATTAAGAGTAGGTAAATCACAAAAAAAGAGCATAGGCTTTCTTTCTTACTCTTAGCAAAGCTTCTGGGGCCTTTCAACAAATCAAGATTTTCGATAGTGCTATAAAGCATGGTACAGAGCTGAGTGTTTCACAATCTGGGTGTCAGGGATGAAAAGGAGGTGGTACTAACGTTCAATATTTTAAGATCACAAGACCTTGTGGGTCTCCCCACAGCTTTAGTCTTTCAAGTGAAATATAAACAGAAATTCAGTTTTTAAGCAACAAATGGCACTGTGATATACTGGAAAGAGTACTGGCTCAGTAATTCTAGGTTCTAGTCTCTATCTCTGATTACATGTTATTAACAAACCACAGAGTCATAAGCAAGTCAGAATCCTCACGGTTCTATTTTCTCATTTCACGTAAGGTGAATAACATTTTTACCAAAACAGAGCTGAGCCTGCACATGTAAGTGGTGCTATTAACATTACCTGCACGTAGCCACTGGCTTTGGTAGAACCACTCCTGCAGTGTAAACAGCCTGGAAAATCCCTTCCAGGTTCACTCTTCTGGTTATCTCTCGAATTAACACTGGGGCTACCCGCTTTGATCTCAATTTCTTGTGAACACAAAGAAAGTTGATTTCAACCATCTTCTTCACACTAGAAACAGAATTGCCAAAGTTAGAAAAAACAGAAGATAAAATCATTTTGTTTAAAATAAGGACATAGTCATAAAACTCCCAAAAGTAAAAAATGAGAATGGTCTCCTTAAGAAAAATATTCTTTCACTTAGATATTAGGCAAATCTCGATCAATGCATTTTTCTCCATTCTGTTACTGCCACTACTGCGTGCAAATGAGTCACAGGATGTGTCACGTATGTCAGAATAGACTGTACTCGAGGTTGTGACCTTTTGGAAGCAAACTGCCAAATCCTTAAGGTACATGTGCCAACTTTCTGATTAGAAGCGGAGTGCTTAAACGTTTGTGCCACCCACACCAGCTGCCATCAAGTTAATTCTGATTCATGATGAACCCATGTTACACAGCAGAACAAAATTATAACTAAGGCACAGAAATTCAAGCCTATTTGTTCTAAATGCATTTTAGGATGTTAAGCCTTCTACCTAAAAAATGGATCAGAGGTGTTGTAAAGTTCCAACCTCTGTTTTTACAGCAATATGGCAATGTCTGAGCCACGCATGCTCCAGAATCTAAGATGTTGCTTTGAACTGATACAATCCCATTGGGGTCCTGGGTAGGGCATGTTTTCTGAGCTAGACTAGGCTTTCTGAAACGTCACAGCTAGCTCTCTGCTCTCCTTCTGGATACGTAGGCTTCTCTCTTGCATATTTTCAATAACTGATTTCATTCCTCGAAGAGCACTGAGAGGATCTACTGTGTTTCAAACACAGTATTCCTTGAGCTCAAATATGTTTAGCAGCACATAAGCTAACCTAATAAACCTGTAGGCAGAGATTAATTAATTATTGACTCTTAGGACTTGAAATCCAAAGTAAAAAAGCAACAAGCTTATGCTTGGGAAAGATAGGGGTGAAAATCTTCCTAAAAATTGCTAAATAACACTTAAAATTCCTCATAGCTATTTTTTTTTAAAGTTCATATTTTCTTCAATTGTCACATTAGTGAAACAGTGGTGTGCCTATCACCTCTGAACTTGCTAGGCAGAGGCCCTAGAAGGAACTTTTTGAAAGTTCACTTTACAACGCGTTGCTTGCCTGTTTTCAACAAGCAAAAGAAATCTAAAGAGGGTTTTCACTTTAACAAAAAGAGGTGAACAGCAAAACTAGTATTCAGCTTTTATCTTGCATTGAGGTGTTGAGACCTTGCACATCCTGAGCAGCGAGTGTGGCGCCACCAAGCTGCTTCCAGAGGAACTGCAGTCAGCATCTCTTCCTCAAGCGGCCACACAGCTTTGATCTGTCTTGAGAACACTATGTTAGGGGAATTTTAGGTCTTGTGTCTTATTTGTCATGATTTGATAGGTTAGTTTAGGGGTCGGAGAATACGAAAAAGTTTCTTCCCGCATCAATTGATGATAATGGCTCCTTTGTTTTGTGTCATTTTGGCTAATGAAAGTTTTCACAGGAATGCTCTACTTAGGAGCATGGGGAAGTCTACACTGCCAAAGAGGCCTGGATGTACATATATACAGAAGCAACTCCTCACAGTCCCCCAACATCACCAAGAATAGTGATAATGTGCCTTCCTGGTCTGGCTTTACTTCTATCTTTGCTCTATCCAAAGGAAAATCTCTTTGCTGGCAAGATAATGAAGGGGGGGGGGGGAGAACCACGCAAAACTGACCAGCTTTCACATGTACATGTACCTGTCATAGATCCTAATGTTCGCAGGGATGGCACTTATGAACCCTACTAGTTTTTTATTTGAAGACACTCTGACTCCACAGTGCCACTGAGGGAGCCACCCTGGGGGACGCAGAGCCCTGAAATCAGGACAGAAAGGAAAAACAGGATCCAGTTAGGTTCATAAAGGAGGGAACAAAAATGAGCAATCCAGCCAACCTCACCTCTACCACCCAATCCTATCTCCACCATGCACACAGCCCAACCTCTCCCCTTAATCCTACATCTACCACTACCTAATCCCACCTCTAACATCTAATTCTACCTCTAACACCCAACCATACTTCTACCACCTAATCCTACCTCTACCACCCAACCCTATCCTTACAACCCACACAACACAACCTCTTCCACCCAATCCTACGTTTACCACCCAATCCTACATCTACCACTCAATTCTATCTCTACCATCCAATCCAACCTCTACCACCCACCCACCCCAACCTCTCCCATCTACTCCAACTTCTACCATCCAATTCAACTTCTACCACTCAATCCAACCTCCACCACCCAACCCAACCTCTACCACCTAATTCTACCTCTACCACCCCACCCAACCTCTACCACCCAAGCCAACCTCCACCACCGAAGCCAATCTCTATGATACATTACCTCTACCACCCAACACTACCTCCACCATCCACACAACACAACCTCTACCATCCAATGCAACCTCCACCACACAACCAAACATCTACCACTCAATCCTACCTCTACCACCCCACCCAACCTCTATCACTCTACCCAATCTGTATCTCTTTATCCAACCTCTACCACCCCACCCAACCTCTATGACAACACTACCTCTACTACTCAATCCAAGTTATACCACCCAACCCAACCTCTACAACACATCTCAACCTCTATGACACAACACTACCTACCTCTACCACCCAATTCAACATTCACTTCCATCCGATCTCCAAGCTCCACCACCCAATCCAACCTCCATTACCTATCCAACCTCTTCCACCCACCCAACCTCCACAATTTTCAACATCCCAACAAGTTGAGACACACCACAGCAAGAATTCAGGTGAATAGTCAAACCGGAACATATTGTCATCATCTTCTACGTAATTCTCATTTAGCAGAGTGTATAACTCCTTCAACTACAAGAGAAAACAGGTATACTGTCTATGACACTCAGTTCCAACTCGAAAGCAATTTACATGTACTGGATCAGAGTTTGACTCACCACTTCAGCATTACTCAAATCTAAAGTGTCCCACATAAAACCCTGTGGCAAAGAGTATGGTTCCTGGCGTACATTGTCTTTATCTGGCTCAATTGCACCATGTGATGTTATTACTTCATCTGGAAAGGGAGAGAGAGAGAGGAGCAGAAAGATCAGAAAGAGAATAGTCAGTTACAGGTAGTCCAGCATCTCAAAATGTCCAGTTACAAACACAAAATCAAATTAGGACTTCTAAGTCTAACAGAACCTTTAAAAGTACACTACTATTTCATTAATTAAAAGTGGAAATCCATGGCTATGAAGACGAGGAGGAGGAAAAAAGAAACCCAGTTATCATAAAATGACTTAAAAGTGTCAACCCATAGATAACATTTATTATGAAGCACCATTATACACAACCTAAGTCAGACAGAGCCACTTTAGAAGATTTCTTTTTGCACTGTATTTAAATAAAAAGAAGGATGAGGAAAGGGCTGCAGAGCTCGAAAACCACTCTTGGCAAAACCTGAAGTCAATTTCAAATCTGTTTACTTCTCTCCATCTCTAATGCCTCAAGTCTAGTAGAAGTCTCTGTCATTTCTGGGCTTTCCACAAAGTTATTTTCTTCTGTTTCTGTCTTTTCCAAACTTATTTTCTACAGAGCTTCCAATGTGGTTAGGATAAACACCAGACTCTTTTCTGGGCTGCTGCCTGCTTCTCCACTCTAATGTGTTCATCCTGTCCCTTTGTCCAGTGCTCAGGGCACCCTGATCTCCCAAAGGCTGGCCTCCTTACTGGTGCTTCCCCTCTGACTGGAAGCCCTTTCCTCTGGTTGTTATGTAGTTGTCCTCTTTCATTTTCCCTTCCCCATAGAAGCTTTCCATAACATCCATAAAGTTTGTGTCTGTCTAAAATGTGTCCTCTCTATACCTGCTACCATTTCATACCCCGCCCCACCCCCTTATTTTCTTGGAATGTGTTGCTGTTGTATACCTACTCATAGCCGAACCTCCAGAGGGCTTTCAGAGCCAGTAAACGGCATGAAAGGAGACTGTCCATTTTTCTCCTGCAGGGCAGCTGGTGGATTTGAACCATATTCCTTTGGGTTGGCCAGTGCATCTCCTTACCACTAAGCCATCAAATGTTCCTTCCTTGGAATGTACTCCTTTAAAACTCCAAACAGGTACTATCCAGACAATTCCAAATCATAGTGACTCATGTTTCCAAGCAGAATTGTGTTCTTGGATCTTTTCACTGGATGTGACCTTTCAGAAACAGATTAGCAGGTCTTTTTCTAAGGCACCTTGTAGTGGATTTGAAACATCAACCTTTGGGTCAGGGCCAAGAGCAGTGCCCATCATTCAGTAATGGGAAACTCAATAAATACCTGTTGGATGAATGTTCTTCACATACCAATTCTTAACATCACAGAACATTTCTCCAGGCAGAAGTCACAGAGTTTGTACTTCATTTAAGGGACTGTAAGCATCTCATTTCCTCTTCTTTCTAAACTCTAACTCTGGTGTTTTTTCTATTTTACTACCTCATCTCCCTACGACTTCATATTTAGATCTTAAGTTCCTAACAGAAGCCCAATTGGTCCAATTCCCAGAGCCTTCCATGAAGTCCTTGCTCAGTGACTGCACCAAGCCTGACTTGACTATGCATACAACATGCACAGAACAATCCCGCCAAAGCAAACAGATGGGTATGGTTGGGGGACATCACCACTGCTGGAGGTGACTGGAGCTAAGCAGAGCCTCTGCCTCTCTGGTCTTCAAATACTCTGCCATACCTCAGTCATACTCTTCCTCAGCCAACAGACTACCAAAGGTACCCCTTGTTCTAGCCTCTGCCCTAGATGAAGTAGTACCAAACACTTGACTTAGTGTCTCAAAAAGATAGCCTTGCAATGAATGTTAGCTGAAGTGGCTTTATCATTAGTGACCTAATAGCTTCCAGGAGCTCAAAGAGCTAAACTCACCTAGTTGTAATACACTTCTGGATAAATACATTTAGGTTCCTTTAGCTAATGGTAACACAATTCAGTGTCATTTGAAACCATGTAAATTCATTAAAGTCCCCCAAGACATCCTACTAAATACATGTCTAGAGTCTGAAACAAAAAAAGGCAAGTTAAGATGATTTCTTTTTTACATTCCTTTCTGTCAACACTCTTTTTTAATTATTTACATAAGGATCGGAGAGAGAGGAGAGGTAGCTTTAAAAGCTTGAAAACTGTTATTCAAAGACAGAAAAAAAAAAAAGGTAAATTGTTCACAGGTGCTGTCCAGTTGACTTACCCTACATAGGGACTCGCTATGACAGGGAAAGTGCCCACAGGTTTCCAGGCTACAGAATGTATGGGAACAAATCACTCATCCTAGGCCACTGAGTAGGTTCAAACCATCAATAAGTCAGTAGCAATTATGCGCTCAGCCGTATCAATATCACAGCTGGGCCATTAAAAGTTTATTAAGCAATGAACACTTTTATAGCATACAGGTTCCGAAACTAAATCAGTCAAAAAAAAAGAAAAAATAGAAATCACTAAAATGACGATTTTTCTTTAGATATATTTAAGACAATTTTGGGTTATAATTTCTTTTAAAAAGTATACTTTTTCCAAGCATAATGTAAAAGAGGATATTTCATTCACATCATGTTATAAAAATGTAACCTGTGAAGTCTCAGTAATCTCATGGACCAATGTGATAAAGTAGACTTCAGCACCAAGGGAAGAAGGCTGACTTTCAGATTAATTTCTAACATGAACTAAAATCCCTTTCAAAGCCCTTCATGAGGTGTCCCAATTCCCTTACTGTACTGCAATGTTACTAAACTGATGTCAACTAAAACAACTGGCAAGTGTTCAGAATCCTCTTATTAAAATGTGCAAAATTTTCCATTTTAGAAAAATTTAATAGGACACACTCTCCGTGTCTTTTTGAAAAACTTAAGTAGAAAATGAACCCAAGTTTCATATACAAGCAAAACAATTAACTCTATGAAGTTTAGAAGAAAAAATAACAAAGAGTTGGGATGCGTAGAGAAGGGACATCAGGTTAACTCAGGTGGCACAGTGGTAAGAAGTTGTACTGAGAACCCATAAGCAAGCAGTTTGAATCCACAGATAGGAAATTTGCTCACATGTAATTTACAGCTTCTGAAAAACCACCAGAGTCAGCTATGAGTTGGTTATAATTCAAAGGCACATAACAAAAACATACATATATCTATGTTACACACACACGCGCGCATGCACACACACACACACACGTTATGTATGAGAGAGGGAGAGAGAGACAGATAACAACAGAGAAAGAAACTAAGAGCGAGAGAGAGAGAGAGGCTGCCCACCTTTGTCCCCAGGAGTGACTGGTAGGTATCTGCCACCACTCTTTCAGTGAGCAGTCTAACTGGAACACACAATGCCACCAGGGAGACATTATGAATGTGTGTGTATAAACACAAACCTATTAGTATACTAATGTTTTGTTTCTTGTTATGTGCCGTCGAGTCGTTTGCAACTCATAGCGACCCTATGCACAACAGCCCTAACCCCTGCTCTATCCTGCGACAACGGCACTGCCTCTGACACACCCATCCCGATTACTCCAGTCACTGAATCAATCCATCTCATAGAGGGTCTTCCCCTCCTGCACTGTCCCTCCACCCTTCCAAGCATGATGTCCCTCCTGGCAACATGTCCAAAGTATGTCAGACGAAGCCCCAGAATCCTTGCCTCCAAGGAGTAGCTTGGTTTAATCCTCTCCAAGATGAATCTGTTTGTTTTCCTGGCAGTCCATGGTACATTCAGTACTCTTCTCCAGCACCACAGCTCAAAGGCATCCACTCTCCTTCTGTCCTCCCTAGTCATTGTCCAACTCTCTGATGCATAACAAGCGATTGCAAATACCATGGCCTGTATCAGGCGCACCTTAGTCTCCACAGAGACACTGTTGCTCCTGAGTACTTTAGAGAGGTCCCTAACAGCAGACTTTCCCATCGCAATACGCTTCTTAATGAAGGAAGAAGTTCAAGCTGCTTTGAAGGAAATAGCAAAAAATAAGGCCCCAGGAATAGATGGTATACCAATTGAAGTATTTCAGATAACAGATGTTGCCCTGGATGTGCTCACCAAGTTGTGCCAAGAAATCTGGAGAACAACCACTTGGCCAACTGACTGGAAGAGATCTATATTTATCCCCATTCCAAAGAAAAGTGACCCAACTGAGTGTGGAAACTACAAAACAGTGTCACTGATTTCACATGCAAGCAAGATTCTGCTGAAGATCATCCCAAAACGATTAGAACAGCACATCAGCAGAGAACTGCCGGAAGTCCAGGCTGGGTTTAGAAGGGGTCGTGGTACTAGGGATATTGTTGCTGATGTTAGATGGATCTTGGCTGAAAGCAGAGAATACCAGAAGAATGTCTATCTGTGTTTCATTGATTATGCAAAGGCATTTGACTGTGTGGATCATAACAAACTGTGGCTGACTCTGAGAAGAATGGGAATCCCAGAACATTTAATCGTGCTAATGCGAAACCTATACTTGGACCAAGAGGCAGTAGTCAGAACAGAGCAGGGTAACACTGCATGGTTCAAAATTGGGAAGGGTGTACGCCAGGGATGCATCCTGTCTCCATACCTTTTCAACATGTATGCAGAGCAGATTATCCGAGAGGCTGGACTCTATGAGGAGAATTGTGGCATCAGGATTGGTGGAAGATCTATTAACAATCTGCGTTATGCAGATGACACAACCCTGCTTGCTGAAACTGAGGAGGCCCTCATGCACTTGCTGCGAAGGGTCAAGGACTGCAGCCTTCAGTATGGACTGAGGCTCAATGTCAAGAAGACAAAGATTCTCACCACTGGACCAATTGGTAGCGTCAGGATGGATGACGAAGAGATTGAGATTGTTCACAGCTTCAGTTTGCTCGGCTCCACAATCAACACTCTTGGCACCAGCAGTCAGGAAATCAAAAAGCATATCGCGATGGGATACTAATGTCTTAGGTATAGTAAAATGGGGTATTTTAGGAGAATAGTAATTAGACTGAAACTGTTATTATTTAAAGTATGTCTATTACCACCTAAAATGTATTATTTCATGGGAGGAAAAATTTCATATAACTTTTATTCAAATTTCTAACCTATAGGATTAAACAAGTTTTAAGAGTCAGGCTGAATCTTTTGGTTTGTGGGGGGAGAAAAAGGTAGGAATGCTTACTTAGCTTGGGTACTGGTTGTGTGTCCCAAAACTGGTATCTGTGTTTCGCAGCTTCGTCAATGTTCCTGGCTGGGCCCTGGCACGCGGATAAAAGCTCCATTGCTCTCTGGATATCCTGCAGCTTCTGCATTGGGATGGTGGTATTCTAAAATGGCAAAGACATAAAGACATAGAATAAGGATGTGGCGCTGCCCTGACACCTAGGGCTCAAGTGTATCTGCCTTGGCAAATACAACACCTGGAAGCTAAGGATCTTCCTCTAAGGTGGCCGCTCTGTGACTAGACTAAAGTCTAAGCAACAATGTGATGTTAACAATAACAACTGTTTTATGGTTTAACAAGGCACTGGCAGTTTCAGTGATGGTTAAGTACCATCAAATAAACTATGACTCCTAACAACCCCATGAACATCAGATAGGAACCTTCTGTCTCCTGTACCATGTAGTAAACAAGTAAATCCATCTCATTGAGAATCTTCCCGTCTTTTGTCAATGACCCCTCTACCTTTCCCAGTATGATCTCTCTCTCTCTCCCTCTCTTTGTAACTGGTTCCTACCTGAAAGCATGACCAAGGTAAGTGAGACAAAGTTTCACCAACCTGAGACTGAAATTCTGTCAGTTTGAGGACTCTCAGATCCATCACTGTAGTTTTCTATGTGAAAACCAACCTCACACCAAGACTTGTCTAGAAAAGCAAGACAGGAGGCACATGCAGTGTATGCACTGCTAACACAGGCCAGGTGCCAGTGGATGGGGATTTGCTGTTAGGGCCAATGCTCAGCAAAAGCAATGGGGCAGGCAGCAAAACAAATCACTTCTAGATCAGAAACCAAGCAGGCAAGGGGAATTTTAGCTCACTTGAAAAAAGGAGTGAGGCAGAAGGAGAGAACAAAAAAGAAATATGAATTTAGGAGTCAGAAGGGAAGGAAGTGATAATCAAGACAGACAAGCTTTAGTGACACACCCTGGCCTCTAACCTCACTTAACAGAAGAGCAGAGAAACCCTTCAACAAGGACAGGCAGTTTATTCTATTGACTCTGATCCCTGTCAACCACCTATCAACCACATAGTTTCCTCTCTCAAACCCAAGTGCTGGGAAATGGCTTCTTTGAAGGTAAAATACATTCAAATCTAGAAAAGTAACACAACTCTTACTTCCTAAATTCCTTCCTCAAAACCAGTATTCCTGTCATCCACACCCACACCTCCCTTTCTTAAACTCCTTAAGGAAGGTAAAAATGCATGGTGAGACTGTGCTTAAAATGCCAGGAGAGTAGGGGGAGAGAAAGAAAATCTGTTCTAAATACACAAAATAATACAAATTGTTTTGGTTTTAATTGTGATACCATAATAAGAACGCTCTTAAGCTTTAACTCGGAATTGGATAGGTAAAACACTGAATCCTTCAGTTGTCCTGTACATACCATGAAGACCCAAGAAAGGTTAATTGATCCTCTGAGGTTTATAAACAGCAACTTTAGACTTCTGCTCAGTTTTTAATCTGAAGCCTGAGGTCTAGAACAAACAAGAGACCGTATGAAGCTTCCCCACTGGACAGGGTACCAAAAAAAAGGGAATGCCATCCTTTGATTACCTTATTCAAATGGCTTTCTTAGGAACTAAAATGGTTCACAGAAACCATCTGCACAGAAAACATCTGTCTCCACATCTTCATCTAACAGCATAACCCAAAGTTATCACAATGTTATAAAGCTGCTAGTCTTAAATTTCAATGAAGATCAAGATATTAAGGGTTATATGTGCTGTGGTTAAAGCATTTAAGGGAGCTCTCTGATGGCTTAGTGACAAAGAATTGTTCTGCCCATACAAAAGTCCATGTTTCAAATCCAACAGCTGTGCCACTGGAGAAAGAAGGACAATCCTGTTTGATTTCCTGCCTCTGGAAACCCACTGGAGGATCAGTTATGGATTGGTTCTGGCTCAACGGTACACAACAACTAAACAAAAGACTCCCAATAATCTAATGTACTGTATTTTTAGACAATTTCTCTTGTTTGGGTCTCTTATGAACCTCCAATATTACAAATACTTGATTTCAAGCAAAATTTTGTATTTACATTCATATTAACTCCCAACATACAACTAACCTAACAAATGAGATCTTAAATAGCATGGTTAACAAATAATACTTGAACACAAATAAATTGATTTTACAATGGCAAAAAGCTCAGTTTTACAAAGACATATCTATTGTCTCTGCATATGATGTGTTAAAATAATCTTTCTTTCCTGATATTTGAGTTGAATCCTCAGATCCTTTACCACTGAGGAGATTCCAGTTCACAGAGACCCATACCTTGCAGACTAGAACTGCCTCACAGAGTTTTTGTGGCTGAATCATTATGGAAGCAGAACTTTTCTTCCACAGTCATGCTGGATGGGCTTGAATTACCAACCTTTAAGTCAGCAGCTGATCACAAACACTACTGCTACCCACAGACCATTATCACTAATAAATTACACCTCCTTCATGTGAATCAGCCTTCTCTGTTTGAAAGGTATCAATGACATCTCACCTCCATGAAGGAGAGTGCACAGTGATCTATAGTCCACCTACAATTACCTTCAAGTCAGCAACATTCTCCACATGGATCCACTCATGAAATGGGTATATCCCAACACTCACTATTTAAATATTTCCTTTAAAAAACAATTAAGTAACCCTAATTCACAACAGTGACAAAGCAGCAAGAAAAATCTCAGCTACATAAATTCTTAAACCAATCACCTTCCTTGGCCACACCAACTGGGGAGAAATGAATTAGTTTTAAAGGAAGGTGTGAATGTATGTGGATCCTGAATTACCTTCCCCCTATTAGACATCTCCCTTCTCCACACTTGCACTGTGTGGAATACTAAACATAGCTACACTCTTTACCTCACACTTTCCTAATGTACTCTCTTGGGGGAAAAGATCCAAGTACTCTACTACTAAGAAGAATGCAAGAATCCATAACCAAATACCAATTTTATTTTGGTCCTCCTGTGTGTCACAGAACATTCTCCAAACTCTCAGTCTATTGCACTTCATGGCGTTGTTTACAGTGGACACTGAGTTAAGAGATTCTGTTTTTCAAAATGCAATGGAGAAAAGGCCACATTAGAACAATTTTTACTTGCTTTTCTAGGAAAAAGAACTTCTTAATTTTCTCCAATCTTATGCTAACAGTCTCGCCTGCTTTGACTGGCTCTAGTTTCTAACAAGCGAACGAAGGGAAGGAAAGAGTCAGAATCACCAGGAGTACAAAGGATAGGGAGAAGCTGATGGGGATGGTGGAAGTAATAAGGAGATGTCAAAAACTGCAAATAAGCTAATACCACGTGTATCTGATGGAGCAAGGTCCAGAAGTGAGAGAAATAGCTTGCAAGTGTGTGGTGGCACCGGGACCCTTACCATCAGTTACCTTGGAAATTATGTCTCGTGGGTAGAACATCACAAACTAAACAGTTAGGAGGAAAGCTCCATTTTCTTCTCACTTCACAAAGTCAGTCGGGAAAAAATGAGGGCAAATTATTTCATTTCCTAGAGACTTTGAAAGTAGGAGAATGCAAAACTCATTTCATGGGACACAAGGTAAGTTTTGTTTAAGAGAAAAATCTTAAAACCCCACAAAATGTGCATAATGGTAATGAAGGCCAAATACATCGTCCTTTAAAACTACTGACACTGAGTTAATTCAGAATAAAAGTTGATAAGGAAGTGTGCTCCAACTGGAAGACAGGAGGTTCGAATTCACCAGTTGTTCCACAGGAAAAAAATGGGCAATTTCCTCCAGTGTTATTTATAGCCTCTGGAAATAGACAAGAGGATCAGCTATGAGTGAGGTCTGACTCAACAGAAAATGAGTTGTTTCTGTTTTGTTTCATTGAAGATAGACTAAAACTTCCCATTATGATTCCTGGCTATAATCGGAGGGTCAGCTATGAGTTGGTTCTGACTTCATGGTATGTAACAATGTAGAAGCTGGTGAGTTGGAATCTCTAACTTTTTGATTATGACGGAGCTTTCAGTCAGGAAATTCCATCTGATTTACAGCCTGTTTAAAACATTCTCTTAATTTAACCTTGTAACAACTCTGTGAATTAGGGAGAGATTATCAGAGTATCATCCTCATTTTACAAATAAGGAAACAGGCTTCATAAGAGTCAAGGACTTGTCCAGAAGGCACCAAAACCTCTGAGTAAGAAAATCAGGACTAACCCCAAAGTTTCCACCTTGGGCCATTTCCAGCACTATCTCTGGAGCGTTTGCTCTAAGCTATGCTCAATGATCAAACTAGTTTCTGTATTGTTGTACTTGTGATTTTCCTCCCACTCACCCTTGAGATTTTTGCATCAAGAGGGCTTTGTGAATCCTGGCACAGCAAGAGCGACTGGGGATTAGTTCAAAAAAAAGCAGACAGCTGCAGTCTACAGGACCAGATGCCCATAGGACACAACCAACCCTCTGCTGGCAGTGGGTCACTGCAGAGCCCAGCTGGACAAGTGCGACTCCATCCTCGCACACACAGGTGTTTCTTCAAAGGGTGTGTGAGAAAAGATGTCCCATCCCTGGTGACATCATAAAGAATGACCCCAGAGGACTGGCCTGATTCAAAGTCCGTGTCGGACTTACCCATGGCTGTTCCCGCTGAAATCTGCTGCCAGATGGTATTGTGCTAGTCAGGTAATTAGACAGACACTCAGAGAAACTAAAATGTGAACATCTTCTGAACTATAAAAGTCATCAAATATTATGTGAAACTTAAAAAAAAAAAAAGAAGAGGAAGGAAAAACCTAACACATTCACACAGACTTTCTTCTATAGCTAAAATCTAAACACTAATTCAGTGGGCAAGGGGAGAAATGCTGGAACTAGCTATACAGAAACTAAAGCACAGCATATACCTACTACGTGTTGGGGACCAGAGGCACGTCAACAAACCTGGAAATACCCTCTGATGACTAGGGCCATGCAATACAGTCACAACAGAAACCCTAGCTACATGTCTGATTCAATCCAGCGTTAGGCTGCACAAGCTTAGTTCTCACGTGCACAAGAAACCACAGAGGTTAAAATAAAACAGGGCTCTCACTTTTGATGGCTGCTGAATTTTAATCTCCTGGGAATCAGATGCAGAATCTGACTTGGTGCCTCCGGAATTTGGCTTCTCCTTTTTCCTCTTCTGTTTCTTCTTTTTCTTTTTGGCTCCCAAATCTCCTCCAGGACTTCTGGTGGGAAATGCAAAGAGTGGTAAAACAACAATAACAAGAAATTGTTATATAAAATAGCATTACTTTACATGTCCGAGAAGAGACTTATATCTAGAATTTATAAAATACTTGAGCACCACAAGATAAAAATAAACAATCCAATTGAAAAATGGGCACAGGATATGAAGAGACACTTCACCAAAGAAGACATTCAGATGGCCAACAAACACATGAAGAAATGTTCAAAATCCCTAGTTGTAAGAGAGATGCAAATCAAAACAACTATGAAATATCATCTCACCCCAGTAAGAATAGCAAAATTTAACAGAATAGCAAACATCAAATGCTGGTGAGGTAGCGGAGAACCTGGAACCCTTATTCACTGTTGGTGGGAGTGTAAAATGGTACAATCACTATGGAAGGCAGTATGGCACTTTCTCAAAAAGTTGCAAATAGAAATACCATTTGACCCAGCGATTCCAATACTGGGAATTTAAAGAAATTGCCACCCAAGAGATATATGCATACCCATGTTTATTATGGCTTTGTTTGCTATAGGAAAGAGCTGGAAACAACCCAAATGCCCATCAACGAATGAATGGATAGAGAAGCTCTGGTATATTCACCCAATGGAATAATATGCAGCACTGAAAAACAAGGAACTAATGAAATATGCAAAATGGATGACCCTGGAGGTCATTATGCTGAGTGAAATATCTCAGTCACAAAAGGACAAATATTGCATAGGGCCACTGTTATAAAACAGGACTGACATTAGAGTTGAGGGAAGACAGAAAACGAGGGGAGGAATGATGTATACTGCATTGAAACAGATGAAGGACAGAACTGTTTAAAAGGGATATATGAATGAGTATTCTTGTCATTACCGAAGGCTGCATAGTGGAGAGGACTTGGTGGGGGGATTGCATGACAATGGAAGAGTTTTTCTTTTCAAGGAGAAGAGTGAATTAGGGGAAGGAGGTGGGCAGGGAGAAAAGTGCAACAATGAATGATGACTGGAAACCCTAAGTCTCTGTAAACGTTCATTAAAATTAATAAAAAAATAGCATTACGTTAATCACTTAGATAAACACATGTGCTATATGCAGTGGAAACACTATGGGAGGATGTGAGTGGAAAATCAAGTTTGATGTGATTAAGAAGTTAACAGACTGACAACGCAGGATAATACTAAGTAACACAGTAGGGTGCTTAGATGCCATTTAAGCAGGAAGACTGTTAGCATAAGCCGTATTTTGAAACCAAAATCAAACAGCTTTCACAGTTCTCACTGTTTTACTAATCTAAATGTCAGGAAGTCTCTTAAGGGGGACTTTATACGATGTAAGAAATCCACTGTAAAATGTCCCTTCGGTAAAACCAGTCTTGCTGAAAAAGCTGCCTCCATCAAAGTGAGGAATATTCTTTTGATAGAGATTTTTTAGTAACAAGGTTAACAAAACAACAAAAAAATCTCTACATGAAAAGCCTTTTCTTTTGGAGTCCTTGTCAACCTCTGAAAGAGCAAAAACTGAAAATCCATCGAGGAGATTGAAATGTTCCATTTACTTGGTGGGCCTGCTCTCTCACAAAAAGTCCCAGAAGGTCAATGAAACCTTAGTTTTCATTGAATATGACCAATGAGATTATGACTATCTGATAAAGGTCAAACTGGGGAGACACAATCCCTTTTGATTAGTCTCAGCTCTATCTGTCCCCTGCAATTTTCTCTAGAGTTACTCTTAATTAAAAAATAAATGCTTATCATTTGAGATTATGTATCAACAGATATATTAACATCCTTTGTAATGTCCTTCAAAAGTCAATAAGTTCTCTTCTCTATGCATTTTCTTCTTTTAATCCAGAATAATTTTTAAAATTTTATTTTATTAATTTTAATGAACATTTACAGAGATTTTGGCTTTTCATTCATTCATTCATTCATTCATTCATTGTTGCACTTTTTTCTTTACCCCCTCCCCCCTAGTTCGCTCCTCTTTTGGAAAAGCAATAAGTAGAAAAGGAAACACAACCATAGAATTTATCAACTTGCTTTCTTCCTCTTTCACTTAATGTACCTTGAACATCTTTTCCCATCAGGACATAATGCACTCATCTTTTCAGCAGCTGGCTAGCACTCCACTGTGTAGACAGATCTTGTCTAACAATTCTTACACTGAAACTAAAGCCCCAGTAGTATAAGCTAAAGGGTATAGTTGTTAACTAAAAGGTCAGCAGTTTGAACCCATCAGATCACTTCTCATTCCATAAAGGTTACAGCTTTGAAACTCTATGGGATATTCTATTCTGCCCCATATGAGTTGAAACCAACCTGACAGCTATGGGTTTAGGGTTGTATTAAAACTGGAGTCCCTGGTACAAAGGTTTAATACACTCAACTGCTATTCCAAAGGCTTCAGGTTCAAGTCCACTAAGAGATGTCCCAGCAAAAAGGCTTGGCAATTTACTTCCAAACTAGCAGCCACTGAACATCCTGTGGTGCACAGATGTACTCTAGCAAACACAGGGTCATCACAAATATCAACTTGACAGCAACTGGTTTTGTATTTTAAAAACACTATTGCAAAAAGAAACTCTAGCATTTACATCTGTGCATTCATGCTATGTCAACAATACATCTAATGGTAGAAACAAGGTTTAAAAATGCATAAAAAGGTATGTACACTTTCAGTTTTAATAAATCACGCAAACTGCTTCTGTAAACACATTTTCACTCCTACAAACCAGAATATCAGTTTTCTCTAAATTTTTGTCAGTACTGAAATATTACCATTTTCCATCTCTGACAGTGTGAGAGGTGTAAATAAGTAAAATTGCATTCTAGGTTTCATTTTTACATCTTTAATCAGGAATCAGGTGGCATCTCTTTCATCTTTCTGGACTTTTCCTCCTTTGCTGTGGATTTGCTTATTCATATATATTATTCTAAAAGCCTTTTTTTTAAAAAAAAACAACTAATTTGGAGTTATTCTTGTAAAAACATGGACACCACCCAAAACAAAATCAATGCTGCAACAAACCCACGTAGATTCTGACAGGCAATGACTTTCGAGGACAGAGCAGAACTGCTTCAATATTTTTTGAAAGACTATATAATCTCTAAAGATGCTACTCTGGGCATGTTGTCGGGAGAGGCTAGTTCTAAGAAAAAGACATACTGCGAAAGGTAGAGGGTCAGTGAAAGAGAGGAAAAGCAGCAAGATAGAAGAAACAATGTATTTGAGCAAGTCAGAGATCATACAGATGATCGGGATAGGGAACGGTTCACAACTTTTGTTCTTACAGGCACCCACTATGAATGGTACTTGACTCCAGGACTCCTAACCACAACAGTCTTTAAGGGGAAACGTTGCTACATCTTTCTCCGCTGAGGTAGCTGACCTTTAACTTAGCAACCAAGTGCTTAACCAGGGATCCTTAAAAGTATGGCCAAGACTCAAATTCAAACTCAAAGCTGGAGAGTCAGTTCCGACTCACAGGCACCCTCCAGGTTTCTGAGGCTGTTAAGTCATGAGGGAAGGAGGCTGCCTATCCCTCAGAGGGCCTGATAGATTCGAACTGCCAGACACTTGCAGCCTTTAAATTAGCAGTGTAATAAGCTAGACTCTGAGACTTGATGCTCCTATAAAGTAGCAGTAATAACTAACTGAATACTTACTTTGCCTAATTACTCTCATTTAGTTCTTTTTAGTTCTTTTAATGGCTTAGGTCATGTAGTAGGACTAGGATCTAAAACAGAATCCCAGATCCATGGACCCTTAACCACACCGACCAACTGCCACCTCGTATGTAATCCATTACAATTTACTAAGTTGAATATTTTTAGCTTTCACTTTACTATCTTTTCTTGTACAGAAATTACAAGTTTTGTGTCATGAAATAAGTTTTCTTTGGGGCACCTTGGCTTTTAAATCTTATTGAGAAAGACCTTCCCTATTTCAAAATTACAGAAATTTGGTAATTTGTTCTTTTCCCTCCTCTCCATTTTATGGTGGTTGCAGCACTGAAGCTGAAGCTTTGAGTAGAGGTGACTGTGGGGTCAGTCAATAGTTCAAATAGTTACATGTGTATTAATAACTGAGAGTGGCTGACTGGGATATGGCTCAGAGATGAAACCTGTATCCAATACAGGCCTATCTCAAGGCTTGCTTCCGGATTATTGTTTACTAGGCAATTTTCTTTCTTAGATACTTGATTGTTTCTAATTTTCCGTTCTCTTAAATATTTCCAGTTCCTGCCATGAGACCAAAAATAACCTAGATGCTGATCAGATACCATTACTGAAAATTCTGACAAAGGATTCTACAAAAGAATTCTGATCAAAAAAAGGAAAACATACCAGAATTTTAAATTCTCACGAGACTCCAGAGTTTCTGGAGCCAGGAAAACTAGATGAACCTTTAAAATATGGCTCTTAATTATGATTATCATAAGAGTTTGGAATAAGGGTTGCAGAGGGGAGTATACTCAGGGTGAGGGTGGGAGGGTGCGGGATGGAGGGGGATTGTATACCAATGAAGGAGTTTTGCTTTTAAAGAAGAGCCAACTGGGGGTGGGGGTGGGGTAGGCAGGGAGAAAAGTGCAACAATGAATGAATGGAAATCCACAATCTCTGTAAATGTTCACTGAAATTAATAATAATAAAAAATAATAAAAAATTTAAAAAGGGAAAAATTAAAAAACAAAACAAGCATAAAAGAAATATTGCTAAAAACTGAGGAGGACCTGAAGAATTTGCTGCAGAAGGTCAAACACTGTAGTCTTCAATGTGGATTAAAGCTCAACATCAAGAACACAAAGATTCTCACCAGTGGACCAATTGACAGCACCCTAATAAAGATTGATGTTGTTAACAATTATGAAAAAGTATGGCTCTTAGATAATCTTTAAACTTTAACTAGAAAACAGTCTTTTAAATTTTTCAAGACAAGTAATAGTTTAGATCAGTTGTTGTTGTATGTGCCGTCAAGTCACCTGTGACTCATAGCAACTCTATG